GCCACCACACCTGGTTTAAAATTTTTTTATTTTATATTTTATTTTGAGACAGGATCTCAATAAGTTGCTAAGTTGCCCAGGCTGGGTTTAAATTTGTGATCCTCCTATCTCAGCCTCCCAGAGTGCCGGGAATACAGGTGTGTACCACCACACCTGGCTTACCTGTAAGTTTATATAATTTAATTTTGAAAAATGGTTATGCTTAACATCTGGCTTGCAAAATTCTGGAAATTTAATATTTGTCTGTTACATACCAGTATTAGGGAGCTTAAGTTTCTCTTTGGGCTGAAATATAAAGAAATATGACTACTGAATTTATCTGAATTTATCTTGGAAGGCAAGAGGTGAATGACCTTTAGAGCTGGATTTTTGTCTGGTGCTAAAGAACCAAAGTGAATAAACGTGTGTAGTTAGGAAGAACTCACCACCATGCTGCTGTCCTTTACAGTGACCACATGTAGCTCTTGAACATCTGAACTGTGATCTGTGTGACCAGGAACCAAGCTGAAATTTTATTTAACTTTGATGAATTCAAATTTAAATTTAACTGGCTGAGTAGTTAGTGTGTGCTGTATTGAATAGCAGCTTATACTTTGTCAAATGTCTTTTATTCTTTGTTTTTTGAGTCACTATGTGGCCTCGGCTGGCCTCTAACTCATAGTGATCCTCCTGCCTCAGCCTCCTGAGTGCCAGGGTTACAGGTGTGTAGCACCACGTCCAGCTGCGGCTTCTGTATTGAACAGTCCAGCTTATGTTTTGTCAAATACTTTTAGTGGGTCCTTATGTTTATTTATTTATTTTGTTTTTTTGAGACAGGGTCTTGCTATGTAGTTCAGGCTGGACTTTAACTCACTTTGTAGCCCAGGCTGGCCTTAAACTTGCAGTGATACTCTTGCCTCAGCCTCCTGAGTGCTGGGCTTACAAGCATGCACCTCCGCATCTGGTCTTATCACAATTTAAATATTAGGTTTATAAGTAAAGAGTATTAATAACTAATAGAACTTTTAAGTACTTCAACGGCTGTCCATTTTATTTTATTTTATTTTATTTCATTTTTGTCTTTTTGAGACAGGGTCTCGCTCATCGGTTCAGGCTGGCCCTGAGCTCACTTTGTAGCCCAGGCTGGTCTCGAACTCACAGCGATCCTCCTGCCTCAGCCTCCCAAGTGCTGGGATTACAGGTGTGCGCCACCACGCCCGGCCGGTTGTCCATTTTAAATGGATGTAAAAGTGGCTTTACATTCTGTAGCGTGCATTTATATAAAGTTTCTTTATTTAAAACTCATGATTAGCGGGGCATGGTAGCACATGTCTGTCATGCCAGCACTGGGAAGGCTGAGGCAGGAGGATCACTGGGAGTTGGAGGCCAGCCTGGGCTCCGTACATAGTAAGGTCAAGATCAGCCTAAACTACACAGTGAGACCTATCTCAAAAAATAACAAAACAAACCAAAACAATCACTCAAAAACCAAAAGTCAAAACAAAAGAACCCCAAAAGCCCCTTATAAAAGTTGATTATTTAAAAGTTGTTTTACTGATGATTTTTAAAAATCCATCCTTTAAAAATTGCCATTTTTGCCACCAGTAGCATAATTTGGTATAAAAAGTTATATTTTTGGAACTGAGCTTAATTTTCTCATTTGAAAATTCAAAATGATTTTACTTAAAACTTTATACAAATTCATATTAAATATATTCTCTAATAACTGGCATTTTCTTTTTCTTATAGTAATTATACATGTAAGGTTCAAAAGTAATAATTGTTTTTCCACTAAATACTTCATAACTGGCCTCTTTTCTTAATTTCTTCAGATTTTCCCAAAGCTTTGCTTTTTTTTTTCCAGTACCAGGGATTAAACTCACAACCTTGTGCTTGCCAGGCAGGCGCTGTGCTACTGAGCTAAATCCCCAGCCCCCAGATTTTCCCAATGTACCAACCTATATTTTTTATTTCTGTGTGCCATGGCTTGGAAAGGATTAGGCCTCAGTGTCTAGATCATGCTAAATCTTGTGCTAAATCTGCCTGTATCTGTGGCTCTTGCCCCCTGCTCTGGCCATTCCACAGCTAGCAGTCTCTGGCTTCTGTTTTACTTTGATTAGTATTGGTTTTTGGAGACAGGGTCTCAATGTGTAGTTCAGGCTACCTTGAAATCACTATGTATCCCAGGCTGGTCTGGAACTCATGGTGATCCTCCTGCCTCAGCCTCCTGAATGCTTGGATTACAGGAATGTGCCACCATGCCTGGTTGGGACCTCTTTTTTGTGTGGGGGAATGGATCTCTTTTTTAAAGGCACTAATCCCACTTGTGAGGGCTTTACCTTCATGACCTAATCACCTTCCAAAGCCTCTACCTCTAGCATCATCTCACTGGCATTAGGATTTAATTCTGAATGCATGTGTGTGCAGAGACCTTATTTCCAAAGAAGATCACATTCACAGCAGTCCTCAGCACGCAAGTGGACCATTCAGAGGAAATGTTGGATACTGAGCATCCACCAGGATGGGCTGAGCTTACTGAGATGAACTGTGTCCCCCGATGAGGCCAGAACACCATTTACTGGCAAGTTGACAGGAACTTCTGCTGGCCTGGCTGCAGCTACCG